ATAACCCTCCTCTCGCGCTCTCTCTTTCTTATGCATACGCTTAAATGAACCAAGTTCTACGATCTGTCAGGTGAAGAGTTTGGTTCTTTAGTTTGTCATAGATAATAATAAAGTTGTTGCTTCTAGTTCTCTTGCTGAAGCCTTAGGCAAATATTTTAGCCCCTTATCCAATCCTAACAAGACACACTCACATATACAAACATACAAGCACGACATTGACTTCCTCCTCCTCCTCCGTCAAGCATGCATACACACACTCACCAATGCAATTCCTCTATTACTTCGGAGATTGTGAACACACACTCACGTACAATGAAAACTTCCCTATCATCGTTAACTGTAATGCGATTTTTCCGTAGTCGGTGGGGAATAACTTACATCTCTGGCTTCGATATTCTTATTTCTTGGCCAAAAACAGAAGAGTATTAAATAAACGAAAAGAGACTCCAAAAATGTTCCTTGATTTCCGCCTGAAACAGCCATTATGTTAAATAAAACTAACAAATAAATAAAAAGGCTGATAAGGATAGTTTTGTGTAACTTCTCAGAACAGACGTGCAGGGACTTTCCTTGAAGGTACACTTCAATTATAGCATATTTATAAAATGGTCCCCGGAAACGTTAACACACACACACACACACACACACACACACACACACACACACACACACACACACACACATACACATACATACACACACACACACACACACACACACAAAAGAAAAAAAAACCTATAAAATAGAATGAAATGATTCCGTGACAACTATAAAAGAAATAAAAAGCAAAATGAATGTCAATAGAATAAAGAAGTAGTATTCGTTTTGGGCTGATTTCATTCAGTTGTTTGTCTGTCAATTCGTTGATGTAAGTATCCGATCTGTTGGCGAATACAGAGAAGGAATCTGATAGTCGAAATTCCTGACAGCCACAAGAGTTGTCTTTATTGGTACAGATATACAGACATGAATTAATGTATGCCTGAATATCTGCACATCTATCTATCTATCTATCTATCTATCTATCTATCTATCTATCTATCTATCTATCTATCTATCTCGGCCTGTTCATATCTATCTATCTATCTATCTATCTATCTATCTATCTATCTATCTATCTATCTATCTCGGCCTGTTCATATCTATCTATCTATCTATCTATCTATCTATCTATCTATCTATCTATCTATCTATCTCAATGTTCATATCTATCTATCTATCTATCTATCTATCTATCTATCTATCTATCTATCTATCTATCTATCTCGGCCTGTTCATATCTATCTATCTATCTATATATATATCTATCATAAAGAGATTAAAAAAGAGGGTAAAAAAGCAAAATAACATATTAAATACAAAATAAAATATTAAAATTGGTAGTATTTAATTGATTATTTTAATTGTAACAGAAAACACATTTTGAAAATATTTTCTAAATAAATATTTACAAATTTACTCGCATTGATGAGGAGTTCTGTTAGTGCTTTTTTTAAAAAAAAAAGCATAATTGTATTATTTGAGTCTGTTAATTAATATCAACAGACTACAGCCACTGGTTATTATTTATTGTGGGGTAATTCTATTAGTATAAAGGTTTTCATAATATCCCTTTAGGAATTTTGAAAAGGTCAATTCTTTTTCATTGATATCTTTTTATCTATATAATTTCATCAAGTAGCACCAAAAGAAGCCATCAGATATTTTTTTTTATAATTTATGATAGCACCTGCAACACAGAAATTCGAATTCCGATTGCCATAGTCACAGTAGCGATGGCCAGACTAGATACGACATGGAAGAAGAATATGAGTTTCCAGACCAAAGTTCAAATTCTACAAATCGCTGCTCATATCCAACCTCATCTATTCGGACACTATCAGTTGAGACAGGATCCAGGCGTTTGAGAAAGTTCCTCCGCATCTCCCAAAAAACCAATGACTCTGTACGGATCAAGGTCAAAAGTTTCATTGGCCGACAGGAATCACTCCTAGCCACTATTTCTATGCCCTAGAAATATCAACTTTCTTTCTGATGTTAAATATAATTGTCCTTTTTGTTTCCATTTTCTCTAAAACTTTACCATTGCTCACATGTTCAGTCCATGTTATTCTCAGCATCTTTCTGTAGAACCACATTTCCATAGTCTTCAATCTTTTCTTCATCTGTGAAGAGATCGTTCAGCATTCACTGCCATATACAACGACTGATATTACCTAACAGTTCACTACTCTTCTTTGTTTGTAACGAATTTTTTCTCTTTCTTAATATTTTGCTTATTTGATTTTTGGTATCTCCAATTTTTAATTTATATGTTAGGCTGTTTCTTTTGATAACAACCTTGCATTCCATCTCTTCTCTGTCCCTCTTCCTTTCAATCTGTCCTGTGATGATCAATTTTTCCAAGCCTTCTTTCCTCATTATGTCCCCAAGAAATTTCTCTTCCTGACGTTAAGTATAATTATCATTTTGTTTCAACGTTCTCTAAGCCTTCATCGTTTATCACCTGTTTGGTCCATGGTATCCTCAGCATCTTTCTGTAGAACCACATTTCTGATTCTTCGAATCACTTCTTCGTCTGTGAAGAGATCGTCCAGCATTCAAGGCCATATAGGAGGACTGATATTACGTAACAGTTCAGTATTCTTTTTGTTTGTAACAAAATTTTTCTCTTTCTTAATATTTTGCTTAGTTTTTGGAAGGCATCTTTCCCTATTCCAATTCGCCTTTGAATTCTGGTGTCGCACTTTCCGTCCTCTGTTAAAATAATTCCCAGATAATTAAATTGTTGTACTTGTTTGATTTTGGCATCTCCGATTTAGAATTCGCATCTTGATATGTTCTTTTTTCTGACAACCATACATTCTGTCTTCTTCCAATTGACGTTTAGTCCTTTCTTCTTGCTTTCCTACCTTCTGTGGGTATTCCTGTAGATTCTTTTCTGTGTCTGCTAACAGCACTGTCGTTTGCATAACTTATGTTGTTAAGATCTTGACCACCAATAATGAATCCTGGTATGACTTCTTATTCTCTCAGGATCACCTTATTGTAAAGGCGCAATAAGTCCGGTAAGAAGATACATCCTTGCATTACACCGCTTTCTATTTGTCTGTATTTACTCAATTCATTTTCTGTCAATATGCAGGCGGTTTGTTTTGCATAATTCTAATATCCTTAATAATTGGTTGCTTAAAGTTCTTAATTTTAATTTTGCATTCTTACTAAATAGTGAAACAAAGAAAAAGATTTATATTACGGCCATTACATGAACATATAAACACACAAAAACAATTTTAACTGTCCATGTTGATGACGTCTGTTGTATAGCGATGAGTAGGGGGGCTCGTCTTGCAAAACCATTGACAGGGTAATGTACTGTGTTCTTCTTTAGTGCTTAACTATTATGGCCTTGTATACAGAGTTATTAAAAAAATGAACCGATTTCATTACGCAATATTTTAATAAGGAAAAGGAATAGAAAATTCTAGCCAAATCACAAGTATTTTATTCACAACTAGCAGTAGAGACCGGCGTTGCCCAGGGATGTAACAGTAAGAGATAGATCAAGTATCGACCATCATAAAGACTGAAAATTAAAATTGACAAAGATTATTGTTTGTTGACAGACACGCATGTCTTAATTAGGTTTTTTTGTTTAGTTTTGTTTTGTTTGTGTTTTTTTTTTTTTTTTTTTTTTACGAATTGGTCAAACCCAAACTCAAACAAAAACATTGTTTTCAATCGTTATTAGTCTATCGATTGAATAGACTTTTATTATAAACAATTGTCTTCTAAATGGAATTTTTAAAGCATTTTGAATGTAAAAATAAAGAAAAAAGTGTGCAAGACAATAAGAAACACTACCTGCCAAAAAAGTGATGTTTTGTTGAAATCGGTTGAAAAATGTAGGAAATCCGATCCCATATATAAATGAACACACACACACACACAAACAACCTGGGTTTTATAAGTATAACTCGATATGAGTTGTCCCCCTTTCATTCTGGCGAGTGATGCCTCTTAATCGTGTTTTCAAATTGATTTTGTGCAAAAACAATTGTATTTTTCCAATTTGGGGCGCTGTCAGAACGACCGCAAGGTAAATTTACGTAGTCCTGTGAAGTTTTGTTGAAATCAGTTGAAAAATTTAGGAAATCCAATCCAATATATAAACGAACAGACACACACACACACACACACACACACACACACACACACACACAATCTGCGTTTTATAATAAGTAAGATTAACTTTTATTTCCTGTCTTAAGTGTTCAATGTGAATACCTCCTGCAGCACAGGCAACATGAATGCGATAAGAGAATTCCTCCCAGACTCGTATCAGTATAATACGATCCACTGTGTTGATCGCTGTTGTTATTTGATTTTTAAGGTCATTGAGGTTAGTGGGTAGCGGTGGAACATAAACGCCATCTTTTACGTATCCCCACAAGAAAAAAAAAATCACACACGGTGAGGTCTGGGGATCTCGCAAGCCATGCATAAAGAGTAAGGTCTTGGTAAGTGCCTGAATGATGCATAGTTTGTAAGATTTCGAATGTAGACGTCTTCTTAGCACACGGCAGATAATGGATTGAGAAATCGCCAGCTCACGGCTAGCTCGATTCGTAGACGTCTGTGGACTCCCCTCAAAAGTAGCACGGATACTCGCCACTTGTTTTCCCGAAACTCGTGGTCGTCCTGGACTTTTTCCTTTACAAGGACACCCACTCTCTTGAAACTGCTTAAACCACCGTCGAATATTCTTAGAAGAGGGCGGATTAATGTCGAATTGCCTTCGAAAAGCACGCTGCACCATGAAAACTGTATTTGTTTTCGCGAACTCGAGAACGCAGAACGCCTTTTGCTGAGGACTCACTATTCAAGGGGTAAACAAACAACTGAACGTTGCCGGAGATACGACGCGACTACAGCGCCCCTGTGACAGTCATTCAAAACTTAGAAAAATCCTCTTTTAAATGGTCACGGACTCATTTCAT